GGGGGGTACACAGCCTGGGGGAGGGGCACAGCTGGGAGAGGGGGAGGGGAAGGGTCTGAGCCCTCGGGACCCCGTCCATCTTCAGCACTAGCCCCAGTGACAACCCTTCAAGGACGTGGGGCCAGGGGCCCCGCCCTGCGTGCTCTGTGTCCACATCCCGCAACACCGCCTTCGTGCTTGGCCGCCTCAGGCCTGGGTTTAGCGGGGCAGCAGCCAGGCCCCAGCCGGGGCAGATACCCTGCGGAGTGGGGACGGGGGCGCTAGCTCCCCTCACAGCCTCTCCTCTCCCAGGTGACCCTGACCAAGCCCTGTGCCCCCATCGTCACCTTCGGCATCAAACACTCCGACTACATGACGCCGCTGGTTGTGGATGTGGAATAGCCCAGCCCCAACTGCAGCCGCCAGCCCCGCCTCTGAGCATCCCGACCCCACAGGACGCTCGTTTGGACAATTGTGACCAGTTATTTTTTCTATGCTACTTTCCCATTTGCTAATCTTGTTTCCGGCTATGCCCAGATTATTTAATAAATCATGGATCCCATTAGCAAGGGTTTGTCTTGGAAAGATCAAGCTTTTCTAGAAACGTCCCCCATTGTCAGCACTGGCCCACAGGGGTCCCATCCCAGCTTCTAGGGCCCAGGAGCCTCAGACGCCCTGCCCCTCGCCTGACGTCCTGATGCTTTCTGCCTTGAACCTCAAAGGCGTCACACCTGTGCTCATCGCCGCCCTCCGAGAGGTGGGATCTGTCTCCCTGAGCCTGTGACGTGCTGAATCAAGATGTTTGGCAGAGGTGATGCCACCTGACTTCTTAGTCCAGGCATACGACAAAGGAAACAGCTTCTGCCTAAACACCCCCGGCCCCCGTGTCCACGTTCGCATCTGGCACCAGCCACTGTGTCGTGAGGCAGCTTAGTGCCTGGCGAGGCCACACCTGGCGTCCCGGGCAGTCAGCCCAGCCAGGCCCTCCTCTCACACCAGCACTGACCTGAGTGAGCCTTCAGGTGAGGGCAGCCCCCGCCCCACACCCCCCAGCACTCAGCATCACAAACAGCCATGCCCGGGGGGCCGTCTCAAGTTCTGACCACAGTGACCAGACAATAAAGCACTATTGCTGTTTCAGGCAAGAAGTTTTAGGGTGATCTGCTGCACACCAACAGGTAACACGGGGAGCATACAGAGGACGTGCTCAGGAAAGGGGGCATCCTCAGCTGGGCCTGAGGAGGGGTTTCCAGAGGCTGCCCAGGAGTCCAAGGCCAGGCCTCAAGGAGTGGACTCCGGATTTCACCTCAGCCTTGAGGGGTCACTGCAAGCCGGGTGGCCCCGCCAGACATCCCGTGGGACCGTCACCTGCACCTGTACAGGCACCGTACAGCTGCTCCTCCTGGGCTGTGAGTGTGCCAAGCTGCGGATTCTAAGCACTTCACGTTTATTCACCTAACCCTTACGAGGTAACACTATCATCACGCCCACCTGAGCGTCAGGCAGCAGGAAGTGGTGACTCCATCGCTGCCCTGAGGGGTGGATGAGGGGCATGCAGGGATCCCCCAAGGGTGAGGATGGGAAGGCGGACGGTTTATAGCACCAGAACCCACAGCCAGCCCGTGGAGCCAGTCAGCTCCCGACAAAACTCCCTCAAATCCCAAGAAAATGAAGACAACAAAGACCACAGGATCACTTCTTTATGAGGCCACATTTATTCCACTTTTCACTGTTAGTATGTCTTCCCCTTGAATTATGAGACAGAGCTAGCAGTTTGTCCTCACCTGGTAGAGTGGGCAACCCCAACCTTTACATGGGCCCCCAAGGTCCCTTTGTGCTTTACTGGTGTCAGAGGTCAAGTCAGCAAACCCCACTTGTCCAGAGAGTGAGGTGTGCAGGGGGTCAGGTCTGACACAGTGAGGGGAAAGAAAAGCAAACTAGAAAGGAACCACAACTCAGACCCCAAAGTACCTGGGTGGGCTGCAAAGAGCCGCAGAGACAGAGGTGGGAGGGAACGGCTCAGAGCCGGCCAAGCACTTCTCCAGCACAGCCGCCCTGAGGCAGTCTCAACTCCTAGTTCGCATCAGCGAGAGTGGGCACTGCTGCAGCAAGAGCCCCCCGCTGCCTCCTCTGGCTCCCACAGCTTAGCTTCTCAGCAAGTGGAGGTCAGCCCCGCATGGTCCAGGAAAAGATGGGGGGACACAGAGTGGGGGTGTGGATGTGCCATCTGCAGTGACCACATGGGGACAAGACAGAGGCAGCCGCCACCATGCTTGGTGACCAGGGGACGAGCCCTGAGGAGCGGAGGACCATGCCAAGCCATGGCACACAAAGATGCTGGGCCGCCAGGAACAGGGGCCCAAAAAGGGACATCCAAGGAGGAGGCAAGCTGGAAGCTGGAAGCTGGACCAGCTCAGCTGGGAGGGTTTCAGGGCAATAGCAAAGTTCCAGAGACCAAGAGACAGATGAGCCCACCTCCAGGGTGAGATGTGCACTTACACTGGGTAGGGGAGGAAGCAGGCAGACCCTCCTCCAAGCCAGGTGAAGAGGGAAGGGGCTGTCGTGAGCGTGTGCGGAAAAGGGTGGGCCTGCTGTGTGGAAGAGAGGAGGGAGGCGAGGAGACTCAGAGCTACAGGTCAGAACAAGGTGGGGCTGTGGCTCATCTGTGGTCAGCCTGGAGCTCAGAGGCACTTCTGCATGGGCAAGACATATGGTGTGGTCACACCAGTGAGTGGACAGTGAGAGGGAATGACCAGGAGGCAGAAGATGGGAACAAGGACAGAGAAGGGAACACGGCCACTTGGCTCCTTTCCTAAAGGTGTTTTCGGGCCAAGGCAAGGGGGCTGGGACCTCACCTTGAGGTGGGAAAAAGTTGCTGCCCTGCCAGCCCAGGGGTTTGGTTCGTGGGAATGTCGGCCAGGACCAGTGGGCAGTGAGGGCCCAGGGAGAGGCGGGTGGGAAGGCAGTCTGCAGAAGCTGGGGACAAGGAGGGTGGCACAGGGCTCCATCATAGCCAGGGAGACTGGCTGGGCCTGGTGGGGAGTGAAAGATACCAGTAAACTGTGTGGCAACAAGTCTCAGCAGGTGGCCTACAGGACCCACGAAGATGGCCCTCACAGGGAAGCCCCCCACCCCATACTCTGCCTGACCCTGAAATGCCAGACTGGCCCATTTCTAGGTCTGTTCTCCTGGAAACCTATCTTTGGTGCTGGGTGGATCATGAAACCTGAGAATTCAAGTTTCTGCTCCTGGATACACAGCCACATGACCCAGGAGGATCCCGGCCCAGTAGCTAAAGCCAAGGCTGTGTCCACTCCTTGCTCCACAAGCCCTGTCCTTCCAAGGGCTCTGGCTTCATCCACAGGACTGGGAGGCATGCACAGAGGACTTGCAGCAGGAAGTCTGGCCTGCACTGGTATGCCTGTGCTCAGCAACCTCGGCCAGAAGCAACTGCCATCTCCAGGCCGAGGACCCTCGGTCGGAGGAGATGGCATTCACTCGGGGTTCACAGCCACAGACCCTTCCTGTGTCAGCTCCAGATACCTCAGACCACAAACATGGCCTCACTCAGATGAGGACACGCCAGAGGGGCCTTAACATGCCAGAGCTCAGAGACGTGGGAGAAGAGCTGTCGGGCACAGGTGACCACATCCAGGATTCAACAGCTGTTCAATCCGGGCTCCTCCTGACACACTGTGGCCCCAGCTCTGCTGGTGTCTCTAGCACCTAGGGATGGGGGTGGAGACTGGGCCTTGGTTTCCCCAAAGGAAAGGGTCCTTTCTATACATGGGACCAGCCAGCATGAACTCATCAGGTCAGAGGCAGCCGCGGGCTCCTACCACATAGGAAGATTCCTAACCCACGATTGCAATTTCAAGGGAATATCTTGTACTTAAGTCCTCGGGAGCCCAGGAGACCGGGTGGGGAAGACCTGGGCTACCATTGGCAACCACAGAAGCCAGCTCCCACTGGCTCACGTCCTTGTCCTTGACAAGAAGTAGGAGAGAATGAAGAAGACCACGATTAGGCCCACGGCCACACCACACAGAAGCTTCCGGTTGTCTCGCCCAGACCTTGCCATCGTGGAAAAGCGCTTCACGCTCCCTGTAAGCAGGCTGGTCATGCTTGTGAAATCCGAGTCCTGAAGGAGGAATCCCAGCAGGATCACACAGGAGCGGTGCCTTGACCACCCACCCGCACCAGCGCTGAAGGAGAGGAAATATAGCAGGTAGTGTGGGGGCAGAGCTGGCTGACTCGCGCACACTGCAGACCCTTACCATCCCATCCAGGTACCGGTTCTGGTCCTCTGCATCCCTATCAATGTCTAGGGCCAGCTGGTCAGGACACAGAGAGAGCAGGGTTAGGCTAAGGCAGACATAATGCAGCACTCACCCACCCTTCAAGACTAGGCAGATCCTGTCAACAGCTCTGCCAGACATGGTGTCACCAACAGAGTCCAGGTGTCACCTGGGGCCTCATGAAGGTGAACATAACCAGGAATTAGACGAGGAGCACAGAAAACTGCCTGAAACCCCCGCCCCCAGGCTCTTTAGCCTCCCCCATCCCCACTCCCCGAGAGCACCAGGAAGAGGGGAAAGAAGAGGACCAGGACTGACCGATTTGAGCCTGGTGACCTTGGAGGCCAGGCTGTCAGCTATCCGCTTGTTCTCCCGGTCTAGAATCTCTTCCACAGCACCAGGGCTCTGAGCTGTGAGAAAAGCAAGCAGATGAGGGGTTGCATCCACCCAAGCACAGCCCCTGATCCCTCTCATTCCAATGGTGTCTGGCTGAGTCAGACATCTACCGGGCCTGGGCCCACCTGTGTCTGCTGAGCAGGTCCAGCCCTAACCCAAGTTCCAGTGGGTAGACCTTGCACACGTGAGACAAGCTGCATAAAGTACGACATGTGTGAGCACCTCTTTTGTGAAAACATGTTCTGCATACACGTTCAGGCGGGCATGGGCAGGCACCCGAGTTGGGTTCTGTCCAATCAGCGCTTTCTGAAAATGACTGTACCAGAACCTGGACCAAGCCCTAGGGTGCTGGTGAGATGCAACACTTGCCTGTACAGATGTCCCATCTGCATATGTGGAACCCCACCTCAGAAAGAGAGTTAACTCTGTTAAGGACCTGGGAAAAACTTAGGGAGCACAACCAGGAGGGCATGCAGGGACAGCCTTTGAACTGGGTACTGCAGAGGTAACAAGTAACCAAGAGGACACATTGGGAAGGCCCTTTAACACAGAGAAAATAACTGAGCAAAGCTCCCCAACCCCCAAAATGGGAGCTGAGGTCAAACCGGAGGGCAGATCCTTCGTCTGCATCCCACACAGGGCTTCCTGCAACACCCTGAGCACAGCGCTTGCAGAGACCTGGCCTATCACAGACTGGGCCAGGTGACAAGGAGTGCCTGGCACATCAGGTGGGTGAGAACTGCCACCCCGCCAGCGCGGAGCGCAAAGTCCCCACTGACCCAAAGTAAGGAAAAAGCAGCCTCAATGCGATCCATCTAAGGGGAGTGGCGCGGTCCCAAGAATCACGTGTACGGATCCCAAAGGAAGGGCAGCTAGCGTCCTGCCAACCATTTCCTGTTCGTTAATTACTTCAATCGTCACAATAAGCCCAGCGTGAAAAGCATCAACATCCCACTCTGCAGACGAGAACACGGGCTTCGAAAGAGGAAATAGGGCGCTCAGGGCCCAAGTCAGCACAGGCCTGCCTGGACCCTCCCACCGCACACAGCCTCTAGCAGAGGCGGCCCAGCCGAGGCCCGGTCCTTGCTCCAGCCCACTCCGTCCCCACGCAGAATGACCTCGCGGGGAGCGGCGGGGGCAGGGACCCCAGCTACGCCGGCCACCCAGTTCCCGTCCCCGCGGCGGTGCCGGCCGAAACCTGGCCCCGCTCGGACCCCGCTCCGCACCCAGCAGGGTCCTGGGCGCCCCGGTCACCCAAGCGGGGCAGGGGCGGGCACACACGACTCCCGCGAGCAGCGGTGTCGCTTCTAGCACGGCCTCGTCCCCAAAGACCCGCTCTCCCGCGCTCACCCCGGGCCCAGTCCGCCATCGCACCCCGCGCCAGCCCCGGCTCGCCGCCGCCTCGCCGCCGCCTCGCAGCCACCACTTTCGACGCGGCTCGGTCACGGGACAGGGGCTTCCGGCCCCGCCCACGAAGACCACGCCCCAAGATGCCCCGCCCCTTCCTCCTCAGGCTCGCTCAACATCCGGCCGCGGGGGCCCGGCCGGCGACGAGACGGAAACGGAAATGACGTAGACTTCTACGCCCGGAAACAGGTAGGGGCGGGGCCGTTTGCCTTGCGACGGCCGGATTGGCCGGTCCTTGGTGCCCAGACCGCGGTGCTGAGAAGCTCTGTCAGACTCTCGCAGTTAGGAGAACTCGGCGGGGCCGGGTGAGAGGAGCGGGCTACTCCGGCAGGAGACAGTGGGGAGCCCGGGTGTAGTGGGCTGAGGCCTGGCCCGGTGGGGCAAGGTCCGCTCCTCTGGAAAGTGGAGCTCAGGTCCTCGGACAGCGCCTGGAGTGACTGAGCGCGGCGTGAAACAGCGGAGAACGACGGGAAAATGAAAGACGGGGATGGTGGTGGGCGCCGGGGGAGGACCGGGCCCCTGGGTAGGCGGTCAGCAGACGCCTGCTAGGAGAGGGCGTGGGACATGCTTACACGTTACCCATGACCGTGAGGGGCGTTTCACGCGTGTCCTCTAATCCGCGTGACAACCACTGAGACGGACTTTTGCGTCTGGCTTCGTCTCCATCCCGACCTCCCCGCCCCGCTCTCCCCTTTCCTCGGCCCACCACGATCGTTCCCACCGTTGCACTTGCTGCTGCTTCTGCCTGGAGGGACCTTCCTCCAGATCTTTCCCTGGTTCGCTTCTTGTCGCCAGTCTCACCGAAAATGGCACTTCCTCAGAGCTCTTTGCACTGGGACCGCCTCAGGTCGTCTCGTTTGTTTTTCCTCGTCTGTCTTCCCCTGTGGAACATAAGCTCCACGAAGGCAGGGACCTGTGGGTCCCGCTCGCCCTCATCCCTAGTGCCTTCCATGCAGTAGGCCTGCGCGACAGACGCCTGACAAACCAAGTGGCTCAGGACTTGGCCTTCCGCTCTGCCTCCCAGTCGTTCTGTGGGTCAAGGGGGGCGTCACTGTGCGTGTAGCAGAGAAGACCGGGGGGGCTGAGGTCCTCTGCGGTTAGAAATTCCAGCCCAAGGCCGGGCGCGGTGGCTCACGCCTGTAATCCTAGCTCTCTGGGAGGCCGAGGCGGGCGGATCGTTTGAGCTCAGGAGTTCGAAACCAGCCTGAGCAAGAGCGAGACCCGTCTCTACCAAAAATAGAAATTAATCGGACATCTAAAAATATATAGAAAAAATTAGCCGGGCATGGTGGCGCATGCCTGTAGTCCCAGCTACTCGGGAGGCTGAGGCAGGACGATCGCTTGAGCCCAGGAGTTTGAGGTTGCTGTGAGCTAGGCTGACGCCACGGCACTCACTCTAACCCGGGCAAAAGAGTGAGACTCTGTCTCAAAAAAAAAAAAGAAAAGAAATTCCAAGAAGTGAGGGGTCACTGTTCGGCTCAGGGCGCCTCGGCCCCGAGGGCGGCCTGTCACCAGTCGGGTCTCGAAGCTGGGGCTGAGTCGGCGGCCAGGTCTTCAATCCGCTCGCGCTGCTCCGGGCCGCACCACCTTAAGTCGCTCCACCTTAAGGCGCGCGCGCCCCTCCCGGCCTCCACCGCGCCGGGTTCACCCCGTCCCGGCCTCCTCTGCACGCCCCTTCCCGGCTTCCCCCGCGCGCCGACGCGGGGCTTCCTGGGCCAGGGCGGGGCCGGCTAGCTGCGGCCCGGAACCGCGGAGCTGGACCTCCGCCTTCCCGGCCGGAGCTTCTCGGCGCCGGTCCCGGGGGCGCCATGGAGCCCCGGGCGGTTGCAGAAGCCGTGGAGACAGGGGAGGAAGACGTGATTATGGAGGCTCTGCGGATATACAACCAGGAGGTGAGCGGCAGCCCGAGGCCGTGCGACGGCTCGGAGGGGGCGAGTGGTGCACGCGCGTGCGTCCGGCGGGGCGCTGTGTAAGTGAACCACAGGGAGCGCGGCGGCGTGGGGAGCCAGGTGTGGGGGCAGTGACCCGGGGAGAGCGGGGTGCACCCGTTGGGCGGCCGGCGCGTAGGGGTGGGGCGAGTGCGGACTCTGCCGTCGGTCCTGAGCGGTGTGTGGCAGCTGCCGCAGAGTTAGAGACTGAGAGGCTGCCCACGTCCGCGTCCTACTCCCATGTGGACTCGAGCCCACCGGATCTCTCTCCAGCACTCCCAGAGCTTCACGTTTGACGATGCCCAAAAGGAAGACCGGAAGGTGGGTGCTGGCCCAAGGGGTAAAGGGGCAGGGACGGGTGGCCCAGGAAGAGGGGCCTGGTGGAGCCGTTCTTCTCCCTGCCTACAGAAACTGGCGGAGCTGCTGGTCTCGGTACTGGAGCAGGGCTTACCATCCTCCCACCGTGTCACCTGGCTCCAGAGTGTCCGAATCTTGTCCCGGGACCGCAGCTGCCTGGATCCCTTCACCAGCCGCCAGAGTCTGCAGGCACTGGCCTGCTACGCCGGCATCTCTGCCTCGGAAGAATCTGTGACAGAGCCCCCCGACATGGATGTTGTGCTCGAGTCCCTCAAGTGCCTGTGCAACCTCGTGCTCAGCAGCCCCATGGCACAGACGCTGGCGGCAGAGGCCCGCCTGGTGGTGAAGCTGGCAGAGCGAGTGAGGCTGTACCGTGAGAGGAGCTTCCCCCACGACGTTCAGTTCTTCGACTTGCGGCTCCTCTTCCTGCTGACAGCGCTGCGCACTGATGTGCGGCAGCAGCTGTTTCAGGAGCTGAAGGGAGTTCGTTTGCTGACTGACACGCTGGAGCTGACGCTGGGGGTGACGCCAGAAGAGAGCCCCCCCAAGCTCCTTCCTCCCCAACAGACTGAGCGAGCCATGGAGATCCTCAAAGTGCTCTTCAACATTACCTTCGACTCTGTCAAGAAGGAGGTGGAAGAGGTGAGGGCTGACCTGAGCCCATGGGTGGGGCTCATCTCAGCCCAGATGTTTCCTGGACCTGCATCCCACCGGGTACCTTCACGTGTCTGGGTGTCAGACATGGAATGAACAGGACCAGGACCTCCCAGCCTGGTGGGAGGAGGCCAAGGAGATACCTGTTCCAGGCAGGGGTCTCAAGGAAGGTTTCTGAGGGAGGCGGGTCCTCTTCTGGCACTTGTGGCCTGACAGGAGGGCTGTGTGTGTGGTGGGGGGAGACTATGGGAGACGCTCCACCATGAGGCCGTGGGTGTGGGGCCCGGGCACAGAGCGTGACTTCATTCCAAGGAAATACAGTAACTTTCTTGATCAGGGAAGTACTCTGAGAAGAACACTGGTGGAGTTTTTAGGAAAACAGCAATGGTTGTCTTTAGCTCTCACACTCGCCAGGGTCACCTAGGGGCCCGGTGTGCAGTAGAGGAGATTCATAGTCAGTGCCACACGGGCCTGGCGTGCTGAGATGGTAGAACTTCAGCTGACAGCAATGGGGAGGAGTGGGGCTTACCCTCACAGGAACTCCTTTCTTTGATCAGGAAGACGCTGCCCTTTACCGGTATCTGGGCACCCTTCTTCGGCATTGTGTGATGGTTGCTGCTGCTGGAGACCGCACGGAAGAGTTCCATGGGTGAGGGCGGGGCCTGTTCTGGGAGGGAAGTGCGCTCAGACATCCAGACATCCTGGCCCTGGCTGTGGAACAGAACAAGCTGGGAGCCCAGGCCCCACCCTAGAGGGAGTGTGCGGGTGGGACTGGACATCAGTGTGTTTTCAAAGAGCCCCTGGTGCTTCTAGCATGAGGCTAGACAAGAGCCATGAGTTTGGTGGCAGGAATATGCTGCCTCGACCTTGACCAGTGGTGACAGATGGTGTGGTATTTACAAGGCACCTTGGTCCCTTGCCCCTGTTCTTGGGTAACCTGCTTCTGGGCTGCTCTGGGTTCTAGAGATCATCTGGTGCTTCAGCCCAGACAGGGTGGGGCAGGCGGGGCATCTGCAGAGGGTATTGTCCCCTCCTGGGGGGATGGGGCCCATCCCACACAGCTGAGTGGGAGTGCCCTCGAGATCATCCCTGCCCTTGGCTTTGGTCCCTAGGGCTGTTCCTCGGGCCCCCAGATGCTGGCTCATGTAATGTGTAGCCGCAGCAGGGCCTATTAAGACCCCCTCATTTGTCCTCAGCCACACAGTGAACCTTCTGGGGAACTTACCCCTGAATTGTCTGGACATCCTCCTCACCCTGGAGCCACACAAAGGCTCCCTGGAGTTCATGGGAGTGAATATGGATGTGATTCGCGTCCTCCTTGGCTTCCTAGAGAAGCGTTTGCACCAGGTAGGCTGGGGACTACTGTGCAGGCTCCCCCAGTGGCTCTGGCCCTGACTTTCCTGCACAGCTGTGGTCACTGCTTCTGCACCGTCCACACTGGTAAGTGGAGCTCATCTTGGTGAGATTCGGGCAGCTCCTTCAGCTGCCAGGCTGAGTCCAGATCCTTCCTTCCTGAGGAGCATGTGGATACCCCACACACACTTGAAGGTTTCACTTTTGCTGATGACTACAAGGAAACAAGTTTTCAGAGTCTAGCAAGGTGCTTGTTCTTTTTTAGATCTTTTTGCGGGTTCTTTTTGAGTGGTCCTGAGAAGCCCCCAATCCCTGCTTTTGATCCTTGGACTCCTGGTGTCACAGTGCACAGGCAGCCCTTAATACAAGCATCAGCGGCCCCTCAGTGTCCTGAGGGGACCCACAGAAGCCTCTGAACAGAGGTTCCTTTTGATTTCTGTGGCTGCACCATGGACCATCCAGACAGCTGGGACTTGAACTATCTTCTGGGGGCTTGTGGACATTAGGCAGGCTGTGGTGCAACAGACCGAGATTTAGTAGACCTCTGGGCGTCCATACTGCCTGAGGAGGGGATGCTCACAGTGTACATGAGCCAGTCAGGATGGGGAGCTGGTGCTGGACACATGGGCTGCGGTCATCTGGGCCTGTTGCTGCCACTGCTGGTGTTGGGGTCCAGGGAGGTAACACGGGAGGCTGGGTCGGGTAAGAAACTCCGTGCTTTCTGTACACAGAGTAGAGATTGTGTTCTTCTTTCTTTTTGCTACCGTTTCCTGAGAGCAATATGTGTGCCAATGGTGTGTTAACAGCTTTAAGTGCTTTGTGTTTTCATAACCCTGGTTTATAGTTGAGGAAGTTAGACTTAAAGAAGTTATTTGCCCCAAGTTACAAAGCTTGCAAGTAACTTCCTGAGTTAGTTGCTGGTCCTGTCCCTTTCAAAGCTGAAAAAGACACCTACCACCCAGTCTTGGCCCTGGGCTAACTGCAGTGGGGCCTCTTTCCAAGCCCCTGCCACCTGGACCAGCTGGGGTGTGCATGCAAATGTGTGTGTAGCCCTGCCCCCTCCCACACCCCACCCCACCCCCGCCTCAAGTCTGGTAAGAGCACAGCCCCTGTGACAGAGGCTCGTCTGCAGACGCACAGGCTGAAGGAGAGCGTGGCTCCCGTGCTAAGTGTGCTGACGGAGTGCGCCCGCATGCACCGCCCGGCCAGGAAGTTCCTGAAGGCCCAGGTATGGGGCAGAAGAGCTGGCATTCCTTGGGGACGCAGGCTGGGCCCTGGTCACAGACCCCAGCTGCTCCAAGCCAAGGCTTAGGGACAACTGCCTCCCCAGGTGCTGCCCCCACTGCGGGACGTCAAGACCCGGCCTGAGGTAGGGGAGCTGCTGCGAAACAAGCTTGTCCGCCTCATGACGCACCTGGACACAGACGTGAAGAGGGTGGCTGCTGAGTTCCTGTTTGTCCTGTGCTCTGAGAGTGGTGAGTCGGGGAGGCCGGGCCCCAGCCTGCCCTGCCTTGGCCACGAGCGCACACTGACCTCTGCCTTGCTCCTCAGTGCCCCGGTTCATCAAGTACACAGGTTACGGGAACGCTGCTGGCCTCCTGGCTGCCAGGGGTCTCATGTCAGGGGGCCGGCCCGAGGGCCAGTATTCAGAGGACGAGGACACGGACACAGACGAGTACAAGGAAGCCAAGGCCAGGTGTGTTCCTCCAACATTTTGGCCTCCTGCCACAGCCCCCTAGTCCCTGCTTCTACACCCATCTGGACTCCTATGGGGTGGGCGGGACAGGATGACAAACAGGCAAGATCTTCCAGAGTCAGGCACCCGTTCCTAAGCAACGTCTAGCCTGACATCAAAATGTGTCATTCTGAGAACATAGAGACCAAAAGAATGGTCAGGTGGCAGGAGCTGGTTATCTGTGGTGCTCCTGGAAGGTCTCTTCCTGCAGTTGCCTTGCCCCCCTCACCCCACAGGGGAAATAGGTTTCTTGCCAGTCCAGGCCTGAGCAGGCAAAGGTGGGACTTCACCAACCCGACGCAGCCCCTCCTGTCCTGGAGTCACTAACGCATTCCCCATGCTCCCTACCCTGGGAAACAGCATAAACCCAGTGACCGGGAGGGTGGAGGAAAAGCTGCCTAACCCTATGGAGGGCATGACGGAGGAGCAGAAGGAGCACGAGGCCATGAAGCTGGTGAACATGTTTGACAAGCTCTCCAGGTGTGTGGCGTGGAGAGGGCCTGTAGCCAGATGGGAGAGCAGATGCATATCCTGTCTTGTGAGCCCCAGGACATGGTATCAGAGGACGGCTTGGGGTCCAGCTAGGCTGCATTACTGAAGTTGGGAATCACTTGTCCTGGAGGAAATCCCCCAGGGAAGGGTTAGGGTGGGATCAGTATTGTGCCCATTTTACAGACAACTGAGGCCCAGAGAAATGTAAAAACTGCCTAATGTCTTAAAACCATTAGGTAGCAGTTGGGATTTGGACCTGATTAACACAAGGTCCCACCCAGGCTTTCCCAGTAAATAGGAGCAGCCCACTTGGTGGAGAGGAAGGTAGCAGCCGGGGGTGAGCAGAACCCCTGCCCGGCCCACTGGGCCCTTTCCCCAGCTCCACTGCGCCTCTCCCTGCAGGCATAGAGTCATCCAACCCATGGGGATGAGTCCCCGGGGCCACCTTACGTCCCTGCAGGACGCCATGTGCGAGACTATGGAGGGGCAGCTCTCCTCGGACCCTGACTCGGACCCTGACTGAGGATGTCAGCTGTTCTGCTCCCCCATCAGAACTGGTGCTGCTTCCAGAGACTTCCTTGGGGCTGCAACCCCAGGAAGCCACATCCCGCCGGCTACACGGCTCCACGCCCCTCCCTCCAAGCTGGAGACCTTTTCTCTTTACTTCCAAGGTTCTGTTCGTGATTTGCCTCTGGTCCAGTTTCTTATCTCTAGGACCATGGTGGTCTTTTTCTGCTGTAACTCTGGGCAGTCAGCCTTGATTTCCACAGATGAAGGACTTTCTTTCACGTGTGCCAAGAGGAATGCGTGCGGAAGCTGCTACCTGAGGGCAGGGCCTACCTGGACAGACGAGAGTGCACAGAGGAGGGTGTGGGCACACGCAGGTGCAAGACATCTGAGCACTGGCCCAGAGCCAGTATGCTGGGGCATGTGCTGCATTTTACAGGGAAAAAGAATCTGCTAGAATTTTATATACAAATATGTCAAACACCCACTTCCAAGGTATGCTCTGTTTCTGTCCCCTCTGAGCGCAGGGTTGGTAGCCTCTTCTGTGTCCTTCTTGGTCCTGGCTTAGCCACCCACTGTTGTATCCACAGCACCCGGGTTCTTACTGGTTGTGGCTATTAAATCTCAGTCCTTCCCACTGGCTTAGACTATAAACACTTACATGAAGGAAAATGCCCCTTGTGCAAACATAATAAATTGAGATTTCTATTCTGCACTACAAGTAGCCACAGAAACATCACCCTGGAATAAAGAGTTTGGGGCAAGAATGTATGTGTGTGAACGTATGTGTAAAATAGCAAGTAAAGAAACATGAAGTAGAATAGAAGCTAATTTTGTTCTAGGTAGAATTCAGTCTGTTGATCACGACTCATTGAAGGGCAGGTCATGGGACCCCTTTCCACGGAGTCTAACAGTTAAATCTGCTCTATCAGCTCCAGGCCAGGTTCAGGGACAGGAAGTGCCACTGCCCAGGAAACACAAAGCCAACATGATGCCAGAAAGGAGGATGTGCACGTGGGTGAGAGCCAAGGAGGAGGCAGCCAGTGCCCGAATGGGTCAGTGTTGGAGCTGGGCCTCGGTCCAACCTAGGCAGAAGGGTGGGTTCTGCCCCCACATCACGGCGTGGCCTGGGCACGGGTCAAGGGAGTCCGACAAGCTGCTGGGAGCCAGCCTAGGTCTTAGGTGAGTAGTGCTTCTGTGTCTGAAAGATTAATTCCAGCAGCATCACTGCAGGAAGCCCTGGTGGGTGACAGTGTGAGGACAGGAGACAGGCTAGAAGTGCTGGAATACTCTGGAAACGTATCAGTTCCCCAAGGAGAGACTGAATACGGTAGAGTCAAGGGTGTGACACGCTTCAGAGAGGGGAGCTGGGATGGAAGAGAAGGTGCTGCCACCTCCAGGGTAAATCCAGGGACAAATGTCCTCAGTCTTCAGACTCTTCCAGTAGCGGGGGACACCTGTGTGCCCCCAGGTACCCTTTCCACATTCATGCCAGGAACATCTCATTAAAGATAACTGTACTGACAGAGACCCCAGAGCGTCACCAGGGCACAGATCTACAAGCCCAGGTCTAACCGTAGGCGATGCCGAGCCTGCCCTTCAGACGGCGACCTGGGCACAGCGAAGGCAGATCTGGTCTGTAAAAGCAGATTCCACGCAGCTTGTTTCAGTCGGAGAGGGGTCACTGTGAGAAGAAAGCTTCTCGCATCAGGAGCTACAGCAGAGTGAAGAATTAAACACAGCAAACAGGTGGCTCTGCTGTATCAGGGTGGCAGTGAGTAGAAACGCCACCCTCCCTGTCAGCACAGAGCTCACCAGTCGGGAAGACACTCGGTGGCAGCCCAGACGTCCATCTACCTCAGTTCATGTGTCCTGGTTCAGCAACCAGAATTTGTGAACCTGCCCAAGCTGTCTTCAGGTGTGAGTTCTCATCAGAAATGGGATGTGGACATCTCCTGTGTCACCGTTTCTCCTATGTGTGCAGCCATCACCCTCCTATTTGTCTCGTCCATCGAGCTGGAACACAGGAGAGGGTGTCAGTACTCTGTAAACACACCCAGGTAGGCCAGCAGGTTGCAGGGCCTGGTCAAACATCTAGCTGGAGACAAGCAGAACATTTTACAAAACAAGCTTTTCTCTCTCTTTGCAAATGCTGCTTTGGGTCCAAGTGAAGGCAGTCCCAGCAGGCCTGGCAGAATAGCGTAGCTAAGTGGAGAGCCTCATTCTAAGGGATGTCAGCTACCCAGTCAAGATGTGCTGATGCTCAAGTACTTAAAACATTGACTATTTGGAAAAATCACCCTCTGGATAACAATTTTTTTTAAAGCCAAAAAACCTAAAATCACAACCCATTTTACATAAATGTTTCTGACACTTGATGGGCTTTATTTCCCTCTATTTGGTGAGATGAGAAGTAGCACCATCCTATACCTTAGCCCTAAGAGCCAAACTCTGAAATGAAAGGCTAAAAATAATAGTGGTGATGATGCCTAATATGTGTAGATTCTCTCTCTGGTTCAGTCTTGGTAAAAAATCAAGATTCGACCAGAGGCTGGGGGCATGGTAAGGTGTTTGCCAGTGTAGGTGAGAGGAGAGTACCAATCCCATGGCCCCGAGCCGTAAGGCAGGCACAGATGTGGACAGGAAAAGGATCAGAATTTCCTAAGACACCTGCCCTGCGGGACAACAGGAACATCAAGCGTGATATAGTCTCGTGAAATCCCCTTTGGACAGCGTTATACCTGCCTGTAATCATTTGAAATCTAAAAAGCATCAAGGCTCGTTGGCATTCTACCCTCAGCAGATTGTAACAGATCAACAGCTTTCACACTGATTACTTCCTAAAAGCATCAGTAGTGTGGGCTTCATCCCACACAGGTGCAGAGGAATTCGGCTTCTCAAAGCTCTTTGACCTGTATCTCAGAATCACATACCAAGCCTCAGAGGGGAGCTGCTGGCTGCTTTATTCCAGGGAGCAAAGGCAGCAGCCTGTAGTGTGTCAAGAGTGCAGACTCAACAGCCCTGACTGCCTGACCGTATCCCTGCTTGGCCACTGAGTTGTGTACTTAGTGTCAGTTTCTTCACCTCCAAATGGAGGTAGTAAAAATAACGCCTGAGTCAGGTCGAGGTCAGTGCCTGGTACACAAGATTAACAGTTACATCATCAGCTATTACTGTTTTAGCTAACAGGGGTCCACACCAGGTGGACCAGACCCCAGAGCAGTCAGGAGGGCTGCCCCTCTGAGAGCCCTGCTCAGCAGTCTATACCTTCCCGGTTTCCCGCTGGATAAGGTCCTGCAACTCTTCCGTCCAGCCTAGAAGCTCCACCAGCCTTTCCACGCTGTGAACCACGTCCCCCAGCTGGGCCACGTCCCTGCTGCGAGGACGCCAAGCCAAGGGCCCCACCAAATCTCGGTTGATGAGTAGTCGGGGCACTGAGCTCCTCACAGCCTCAGACAAGCTGGCAAAAGGCTCCACCTGAAAAATGGCCCAAATGTTAGGGGCACAGTGTCAACCCCACCAGCCCTCAGGACACTTCATGCCACAGCCACTGAGGCCTTGGGGGGGCAGCACACTGGTCAGATCTCATGATCCAGGGAAAACCCACCACCCATCTCATTTCTTCAGTCGAGCTCCTGCAGCTTGGCCTGTGGGACCTTGTTTCCTCCTCCCCGGCCTCCTCTCTAACTGCCTCTAGCTGCTTCCCACACGTCCTGGCTTCTCCCTGTCTTCCTTCTGGGACTCATCCAGGCTCCACCCTTCCTGCCTCCTCTCTGCCTGCTCTCCCTGCCATGCCGTCTCCAGCACACCACAGGTGGACAACAACACACACTCATCCCGCTGTCTGCCCCACTCGCTGACACCACCACCGTCTGGCACCCAGAGAAGCCAGTGTGCTGAGGGTCCCGACATGCCCAAGGCTGAGCTACTGTCCCATCTCTCCATCATCTTCACCACCCTGACTCCACTGAGGCCTCCCTCACTCCCTTTAGGCCTCTTAGTCCAGCTCTCGAATGAAAGTTTCTTTTACGAGTAACAATGTAAAAAGATGTAGATTAATAAATGGTATTGAGATTGGCTCATCTGGGGAAAAAATGCTCAATTCCTACCTTTCATTGAAAAAATTTCTAATAGATTAAAGGTTTAATAGTAAACAAAACAGTTCTTGAAGAAAAGGGTTTATAAATAAAAGTGGAGAAGAACTTTTTAGGCATGTCAGATAAGACTATGGAAAATGACAGATTTGACTATGGAAATACTGTCACACTGGTATCTATATAAAACTATGCAGAAACTTTAAAAATTTTATAAAACTCATCACCATAGGCCAGGCACGGTGGCTCACGCCTGTAATCCTAGC